TCCCTCACGCTGGTCGACAATTGACATTATGTCAATACAATGCAAAACCATGTCGATGATCTAACCCCTAGAAAATCCCTTCATGAACATTGTTGTGAAGCCAACTTGCGCAGTGAACCACTATTTCATATGACTGACTGACTGAGTTTAGTTTTACGCCGCTTTTAGCAATGTTCCAGCAATATCACGGCGGGGGACACCAGATATGGGCTTCACACATTGTACCCATGTGGGGAACCGAACCCGGGTCTTCGGCGTGACGAGCCAACGCTTTAACCACTAGGCCACCCCACCGCCCCCTATTTCATATGAGTGAACCCGGGCTGATTAGTGGCCTTCTGTTGAGAAGTAACAGTGACACTACCTTAATACGCGATTTTGCGTTACAAGCCACTGTGGTTTGCCCCTCACCCTCTATTTTACAGCTCAGTCAAAATTCATTCTGAAGCGTCGACTTTAACGAAGTAAAGAACTGATGTCCAAAACATATTTGACACATGTTCATCACTCCTTAGAGACCTTCAAGGAACTCAAGCGGTAGATTTCGTCACAGCAGGAGACTTTGTAATGTCGGATAGAACAACACAGTTTTTATGGGTATCAACAAGAAGGGTTTTCAGAGATGATATTGTGTCTATCGCTCTTATGGGCATTCAAGTCACTACATCCTGGTCTGAGCCGCGGACGATCGATTTGACATAAGTTCGATTTTTTTTTTCATTCTAAAGATCCACTTACACACGAGTACTAGACCAAAATTAAACTACACCTAACATTGTCAAAAAGATCCGTCACTGTTTTCACACTGACATATATATCCCATGTGATGGAAAAATCAACACAGTCAAGCGATACATAGGATGCAAAATGGAGGATCCTCACATTTAGTACGTATTCGTAGGTATATCGGAAATGGCGAGTACTTCCTCGTTGCATACTGACTTCTTCAAACCTGGACTGACAATCCAGGGAAGTGCAACCAATAATTGGTTTTATTTGATGTAGGTTATTCACACTTATATGGGTGTCCCATTACTTTTGCATTACATCATTTTGCCAATTAACACTTATCAGAGGGGTACACAAAGTCCGCAGTCTAGACTACCAGTTGTCCGACTTCATTTTTGTGGAAGCCGCGGTTGCTGAGCGGTCTAGGCGTCTGAGTTTGTGTGCTGGCGATTAGATGCCTGATTCTAAGGGTGCGGGTTCGAATCCCGGATGGGACTCAACCCAACAAAAGTACTAGAATCTGTACTTTACTGAGAAAGTGTAATCCCAAATATAGCATATGTTACATCATTTTGAAGTTCACACGGTACTTAACAGGGAGCCAATGTAAGAAAATGAGAGATGGAGTGATGTGATCTCGCCTAGATTTCAGACATACAATACGGGTATCAGTGTTTTGAATTGTTTTTAGTTCAATCCAGCACGGAGGCTATTGCAATAGTCAAGCCTAGAAAGCACAAGAGATCTTACTAATTATAAGGAATGGGCACAGTCTGTGGTGATGTTTCGGCGGATTGAGCAAATGATTATTGGTGGTGATGGCAGACTTTACGTAGATGGGTAATGTCGGCATCAAGTAAGAGATTAGGGTCTATGTACACACCAAGGTTGAATGACAGAGGATGCCACCTTGACACCAGAGACTGATACTACCTGCAGCTGCCCATGCCTGCCGGCTATCAACAATTCAGTCTTACTGACATCCATCTCTTTATGTCAGACACACAGTCATCAACAATCTGAAGGTCTGCCATTAGTGAGCTCCGTCTCAAGATGGTAGTGAGCTGGGTGTCATCTGCATATCCATAGTGGCTGCAACCGTCCTTGTTGATAACTGCTGGGAGCTAGTTCACATAAAAAAGGAACAGAATCGGTCCAAGGGCCGACCCGTGAGCAACCCCATAAGTTAACTCAAGTCTAGATGAAGTAACACCCTTAACTGAAACTTCTTGTCTCCGACTACTCAGATAAGACTGAAACCACCTCAAAGCAGTTTCACTCACTCCAACTTGCAAATCCAGGATTTCTAATAGCTGTTCGTGTTCTACGGTGTCAAACGCTGCACTCTTATCAATCAACACAAGGGCAGTCAAATTCCCGGAATCCAGAATATTTCTTAAGTCTCAGGAGAAGAGCTTCTGTGGACGATATGCCGACTGGAATCTATTGAGTTGGTCATGGGATGAGAGGTGTTCCATGAGCCTCTTTGCCACAGCCTTTTCAATTAGTTACGATAGACATGACAAATTCGACACAGATCGATAGCTTTTCATTTCTGAACTGTGCAATTTGTTGTTTTTAATCAGAGGCTTGATTATTGCATTTTTCAAAGATTTAGGAAATATGCCAGTTGAAATACTTGCGTTTATGATATCTGTGATTGCCGGAAGTAGGCAATCTAAATGATCAACAACAAGCTGTGCTGGTATAGGGTCAGAGGCCTTATTCGAATCCACGTTAAGAGATCTCAGATCAGATAAAGAAAAGGGTGAGGCGATCCTTGGAACACAAATTGCTGGTCATGCAGCTGATTGGTGCCACGATAGGACAGACGTTGTTTCATATCCAGGATATCAGTGGTTACTCAATAAACGACTCGGCGAGAGCAGCAGGATCTGAAATATCTAAAAGTATATCTTCACCTTTTTTGCCGTGAATAGAATTCAAAACTTTTTGAAGCTCACGTGGTTTGCCTTGGAGACTGGAGATTTTTTGTCTGTAGAACTCTCTCTTACTCTGCTCTATCGTCTTTGAGACCTTGGCCTAGATTTTCAAAGCTCTCTTAGCGCTAAGATAGTCGTAAATTAATGTTAATGTATGGCACTTACGACTATCCTAGCGCTAAGAGAGCTTCGAAAATCTAGGCCCCTGTTGCGAAGTGACTGATATGTCTGGCAATATACAACTAATTTAGATTGTCTCCACTTCCGTTTAGCACGGCGTCTGAGACTTTTGGCTTCACGTTTAGCCTCACAATACCAAGCACATCCTGGTTTGCGTATGAATGTTATCCGTGTGATTGGAACATGTTTATCCAGGACTGTAGGGAGAGCAGTGTTGTGGTGTTGAGTGAAGTCAGATGCATCACCTTTATAGGACTCAGACGTGAGGGTCTGCGAGAGGTCGGAGGAAAATGCATCTCTATCAATAGTTTTAAGATTTCTGCATGATCGGATTGATTTCTTCAAATCAGGACTCTTCATATTCAACACAGCAAACACAGCGTGGTGGTCAGATATAAGTTTGTCCTCAACTCTAACACTGTCTATGAGATTGTCACTGGACGTATGAAGCCAATAAAGTGTATGACCTGATCTGTGGTTGGTTGACAAATGTGCTGCTTAAGACCATGGGAAGACAAAAGTGCGTTTATTTTCTGCACATCTGGCTCTTTACGTCACCAAAGTGCGCATTGAAATCGCCAATGTAAATAGTGCTTTCTTTTGGTGAAGATGCCCAAAGACGGGCAAGATCATTATAGGAATCAGAGTGACTGAGATTGTTTTTGGCAGAAGGTGATTGGCGATATAGACATACATCCCGTATTGTTGCATCGACAGATGATATCTTTACATTAAAATGTTCAAAGGATGTGTAAAGATCAAGATATGTAACCGAATGCACATATAAACTGCTTCTGTGGATCATAGCGACACCACCGCCCCTTCCTGCCCGGCCTACACGTTTGAATGAATAACCATCTGGTGTCATATCAGAGATAATCCCCACATCACCACTATCATACAACCACGTTTCAGTCAGAAACAGTATATCCATATTTTCATCAAAGATTACGTCAACAATGTCATTAGGTTAGTTTCATTGAGAGTTCAGTAGGGCAACACGAATGTGTTTACGAGCAGGCTTTGGATGAAGTTATCAGATTTGATTTGTTGACACCCCTTTGGCTGTGCACGCTTGAATGGATAGTTGATGACTGAAAAACACTTATCTTTGGTACTTTGTTGCGTCCACATCTACAAACCCTGTTTCTCTCCTTCTTAACACACAAGCCCAGCTGTCTGATTGGCTGTTGTGATGTCAGGTCTCAATGACAGCAGCTTGTCCCTATTGCATGTCACCCTCTGCTTGACAGCCATTATGTCAATGAGTGAGTGAGTGAGTTTAGTTTTACGCCGCACTCAACAATATTCCAGCTATATGGCGGCGGTCTGTAAATAATCGAGTCCGGACCAGACAATCCAGGGAGCAACAGCATGAGCATCGATCTGCGCAACTGGGAACCGATGACATGTGTCAACCAAGTCAGCGAGCCTGACCACCCGATCCCGTTAGTCGCCTCTTACGACATGCAAAGTCGCCTTTTGTGGCAAGCATGGGTTGCCACAGACCTATTCTACCCCGGATCTTCACGGGTCCATTATGTCAATGAAGTTCACTGGGTGGGTATAGTCAGCTTGGGTGATCATATTGGTGGGTCCTTTTGTGAATAATAAAAATATGAACACAGGGACTAAAACTGTCACAAAGTTCACCACTGTTGATATTCCCATGATCTTTGCATATCAAAATGTTCCATGCATCACAAGCAAGATTTTGGCTATTGCGTTTTCTTCATATGAGTAGAATAAACCATGACACTTTGCAAAAACTTGGGAGAGTTCTGCCTGCTGCCTACTGGCGATGACGACCCAAGCCTTCATTTATCATACGTACATAGATGCATGCATATGCACACAGATACATACCTGCATACGTATGTCCATTTCTCAACTCTCCCATTTATATAGAGCTAACACATAGAAAAGTAAATAAGTTAATAAGTTAACATTCATGCATTAACATTACTTTGTCCCCATCAGTGACTATTAGTCATCGATTGCAAAATAGGTGCGCATTTCAGCTGCATTCTCAACTCTTATTTTAGTCATACATATTCGCTGTTAATACATATTCACTAACAGCACTACGCATCTGTGCGCCTGTAGATATAACCCATTACACATAGGAACCTTTCGCTTTCAACAAAAATGGAGCAAGAGAAATGGGGTTCCCACGTGGATTACATGATGACACTTATTGGCTACTCAATCGGAGTGGGATGCATGTGGAAATTCCCGTATATGTGTATGAGAAACGGCGGAGGTAGGTATGAATGTTACTAATCTCGTTGGCTGGCTAGCTAGATTTTTGCCTGGTGTATATGACATTTTAACGGATAATCGTACCTGAATCTGTTATATGATAAGCCATATAAACAATTCTTCATTAGGAGCAACGTTTTAATGTGGCTCTCTTGCAAATTATATACAGACAGTTTGAGAAACCTGTTAGAGGACAATCTCAAAAGGAAATATACCCATATTTACTCCATTCGTGAACAATCGATTTTTTTCCTATCCAGTACAGATGTTACATATCTTAGGTATATGCATTAGATATATGTTTCACATTTACCGATAGTTTTTTCCATAATATCCACTCTGTGGCTTGTGTCTCTTGCAATACGATACCAGCTGATAAACGAATGACGAAGTTTAACCTTACTAGACCAACTTAAGATAGGGTGTTTGTTGCATCTCGATGTGCTGCTTACTGTGTTGAAACCCCTGGATGTCGATGGATAAGTGAATGAGTGCATATTTTCCCTGTTATGAAAGAGTGTACACTGTCCTTATAAAATACATAATGTGGTTGATTGTACATAAAATAAGTTTGCACGCGCAAATGCACACAAATGTCGAAACACTACCTCAATCCTGTATACATGTCTCTGTGTGTGCAGAACGTAATTTTGCCTTAATTCAAGGGAGACAACGCCGCATGCCACTCATTCTCAATAACGGGGTGCAAAAGCTTCCGCCGCCATACTTCTCTTAAACTTAAGTAGCAGAATGGTTGGATAATGGTATCAACCTTCCCAACATACATCATGCATACACAGTCCAGTTACCCCCAAAGTATATTTGTTAAAGCTAAGGCAATAGGTAAGTTTGAAATATTCGTTACAGTCGCTGGTAGCAAAACCTTACTTTGCAGTTTAACTTAACGCAGTTTGGTATACGAATACCTGGATATTAGTACATTAGGACATTGATATCATTTTCTGCAAATTGTTAAGCCAATGAATTCTTTTTAGATAAATGAATTTGGTCTAATGCAGGTTAGTTCGGGGTCTTCCCGCTTACTCAGCAGCATTTGTTCTATGGTTCCAGATCAGCGAAGAGATCTTATCCTCAAGACCAAGGGGCGGGCTTGTACTTTAGTCCCCTTTGAGATTTAGTCCCATTTGGCTTGTGTGGGCACCAAACCATTATTTGCAGTAAACAACATGACTACTGCAGTGCACACTGACATTGTACAGGGACATCATACATATCAATAAAGTATGGTACTTTTCGTACGGGCGATCATATTCATATAGCAAAATGTTACATTAATGGAAAGGATTAGCACAGTCAGGGCAGTTGAAAATATTTGTAGAACCATGAAGCCAATATCAATAAAACATCTCTCAGTAAATGTGGGACAGTCCGGCTCATGATTTTGTAACTTTCTTATTAGATAGTATGGCTCTCCATAATTAAGCATGAATAAGGAAATAGTTTCTGACAAAATAACTAATGACTTGACGTTTCAGGTAGGCAGTGATTGTTAGTCTGTGACTTTAGCAATCTATAATTTGTAATGTTCTTATTCTCAATACTTTCTGTACTAACTATACACAAATGACTTAGTTAAGCACCCCCTGACATATCTCATGATTGAATACGCCGTGATCTTAATCCTTTGGAGCATATCTGGGACATGATTGGTACAGAACCTGGCCCAATTGGAAGCTGCTTTTAACGGAGAATGGTGTAGATTGCCCCTTCAGAGGATCAGGAGGCTGACAGTGGGTATGAAGAGGAGAGTGCTAGCCGTCATACAGTCACATGGAAGCACACTCGGTATTGACCTTGAATCGTGTAAGACACGCAAAATGACATTTTGAATGTTCACATTCACAAATAATTCAACATTAAACATTCCAGGGCCATACTTGTACAGACATAGTTTTATATGAAAATCGGTTGTTTTTGGTTTTTTAAATGAACAATTATCATCATATAATCAACATGGATTCCAATCATTTTAATATTTCAAAGGATCATACGGGTCAGAAAAAAATCCTTATGTCCTTGCACAGTGGTCACCACGAGACGTTTTATGTACGTGTTCAAAACCTATCATTTCAAACATACAAAGGGTGCTTAATTAAGTTCTTTGTGTATATATCCGATATCGGTAATTACACTGTGAAAATGTCCTATAATGTTATCACATACTACATGGGTGTGTTCAATAATTGGTACAAATTGTATCAGTTACTGCAGTCGTGATCATACTTAAAGCAAAATTATTGTCATGGCCCAACCACTTTCTTTTGTTGTTTTGTCAGACTTTCATTTATCATTTTAGGACATCTCTCTCAATATGTTCATTATAGTTGTGCTTACACTACCTATTGTCTTGAAGGAGCATTCCTGATACCGTTCATCGTATTTATGATCATCGGCGCAGTTCCCTGTGTGTTCCTTGAAATGGTGATTGGCCAGTTCTCACAGAGTGGAGCAGTTAAAGTCTGGAACCTGTGTCCACCGTTCAAAGGTAGTGTTCATCTCCAATGATCATTAGTTATACTCCCAGTACATTATTGGGTGTTCGTGTTTATGAACTGAAATATATGTTCGGTTTGTGAAAGCCAAAATAGTTACATTTAAGCTACAGATATGTCGATGATATGGTGGTGTCCAACACCAGACAAATACATGTAGTTTAATTTCTATGATTGATTTACCCACCTCCTCTATCGTCCTGGCAGTTTGGTAGACTGTCAGCTTTAATTGAAGTAATTGTGATGTATACTGTAGGAAATATTACCTTAAAAGTATGATCATGTGAGACCACTCAAATTTTAAGGTTGTTCTTTCAAAAGAGTTGCAACATTCAATGCCAATCAAAAATATTCAAAAACTTGTGTGGTAAAAAATATACTTTTACGTGGAGGACATCTATAAAGGTCATACAGATCCATCTAATTACAGACCAATATCTTTAACTAGCTGCGTTTGTAAGACAGTGGAACGTATGGTTAATAATCGTTAGTTTGGTACCTGGAAACCAACAACTTCATCACTGACATTCAATATTGAAATACCGTCGATTATTTAATACGCTTAGAATCTTTCATTAAAATTCGATGACAAACAAACAACATGTATCGATTTTTATCGATCTTAAAAAAGCATACGAAACGACATGGAAGTATGGCATTTTGAAAGATCTCCATACCAGGGACCATGGGAACTGACAGTACAAATGAAATGTATGTTTATATAGAGTTATATCTGAAGTTAACTCAATCTTTGCTCTTAGGCGACAGGGTAACCATTGTGACTTGTGATGCAGTAACAGACCATGACCATGTGTTGGCAGATGCAATCTCTTGTGAAATTACAATGTCGGTTTAGAGAGAGTCCATTGCAGTATTGTCTTCGTAAATAACATAGTTTTATATTTACATGCTAGTTTTAAACACCATCTGTGATATAGTGATTTTACAGTCTTGCGATGACTGGTTATTTAACTGGGCGGTGGGGTAGCCTAGTAGTTAAAGCGTTCGCTCGTCACGCCGAAAACCCGGGTTCGATTCCCCACATGGGCACAATGTGTTAAGTCCATCTCTGGTGTCCCCCGCCGTGATATTGCTGAAATATTGCTAAAAGTGGCGTAACACTAACCTCACTCACTCACTGGTTATATAACGACTTGTATTTATTGTGTACGCAAAACCTTTCTCGTCACTAAATGGCTGAAATATTGCCGAGGTGACGTTAAATTTTAACTCACTCACTATAAATGTTATGTCTGATGCCTCTACCACGGTGTCAGCTGCAATTTCATATTTAAACTTGTTCCTGGTACTCGGTACGTAAAGGAGCAAACTGTGACATCAGACGACATCAACAAATTATGTGGAACCACATATGCTGTACAATCAAAAATAGGCAATAAAAATGGTATTATTTTCAGCAGCAACAGTTGTTAGCAGGCTATCAAACGAGGCACTCATGACTTCGAAAAATGTGCACGTCGAATGTGTAGAATGAGAAAACTGTCTTTGAATCAGACAGGCTTATTTGGACATTAATTAACAACGAATGAAGTTACATATAATGCAATATTACGGATGTAAATGGGAAGTGACAGTGACTCTACTGAAAGCGAAAACATGGGTGTTTTTGTTATAAAGGGAGAGTCTTATCCTGATATGAAAAACAGTATCATGATGGAAATAGTTAAAGAAGCTACTGGATACACTTATCTTGGCTTATATTGTAGCAACTGACTGGTCGAAGTGTTTCATTTTTCACAATCCAAGCAGGAAAGGGTGTCATTGTCTGATTAATCAGTATGCATTCCTTACTTACAGTAAATGTGAGAGTGAGTTAAAATTGCACGTCATATCGGCAACATTTCAGCCATATCGTAACAAAAGAAATTCATAAATTTAGAATAATCTTAGAATACTTTGTAAAAACCTGTCATCGACTGACAGTATAACTACCAAAATGTCATATATTGTCAAAACTAGTTTGAGAACATTGAAATATGTACTCTTTACAAAATTAGGGGAACTTCATTTTAAATATATATATGAGTCAATCAATATTGATATGATAATAATGAATGTTGTGAGAGTGCATCACCACTTGCACTTCCTTATGACCATAGCTGTTTGTTCAGTAATCACTCCAGAAAGAATGGTGCATGACGTGACATTTGCATGTGTACGACTAGCAGCAAACACTAACAGCGGTGTGATGCAAGATGATTATCAAAATTAATTGTCTGCAGTGATTTATCGACCTTTTTGAAAACCGTCAAACTGATGCACATGTATGGGGCTACTGCGTTGTGCACGTGCATCCCATACGTTTTGACTCTATGTCTGTCTTTGAAATGTTTGTTAAGGCTTATACTTCCTATCCAAATTGAAAGTTCAGGTTCCCCTACTTATTTTAAGAGTATATATTATTAAAACCAGTTTGAAAGCTATTCACTGACAAAAACAGTTCCTACATGTATATTACATAAACAATTTTCTAAACATTAAGTATAGAACTGTACATAGAAGAATATATAAATTCAAAAGAAGTAGCAGTTTTACAGACTGTTGTTGTTCCAAGAATACAGTCCAGTGTCTATGACCTTAAATAATGTTTTCCTCCAGGTGTGGGAATGGGGAACGTCCTCATAGGCATATTCTACAGCACCTACTATTCTGCCCTGTTTGCCTGGTTAATCTACTACTTCTACCACTCCTTCTCTCCCAACATTCCCTGGAGTAACTGTGACAACCCATGGAACACGCCATCGTGTATAAGGTTCGACGACGTCGGAGATGACGCATCTGCCAACGCTACAAATGTTTCTGTAGCCTTTTCCAGTACAGTGAATGTCCTTTACAACTCTTCTGTCCTGGCTAATGGGACCATGCAATTAACGGGGATCACATCGGCAGAAGAATTCTGGACGTAAGATCGGAGGCAAATTTGTCCTCTGGACGTTATGTATTGCAACTTTGTTTTGTAAATATTTCATGAAAGAAGATAAAATCGCAAAAGTTCCCCTTAAATATTGTCTTCATCCATGATGCGCTCATTAATCTAAAGATGTTCTAAAACGGTAACTTCTATTAAAGAAGAATCGCAACACGTTCACAAATCACAAACATGTTCATGTCATTACAGGCGAAATGATTATTTTATCCCGGAAAAAGCTTGTTAACGATAGTTTTATGCTACATTCAAAGGTTATACGTCATTGGCAGCAACTTAGCTTCTGATTGACACGTCAACTTTCTTTACGCTACTTTTTCGTCATTTTGCTAGATTTATGACATCGCTTTGAACAGTGAATGCGTAGGCTTTATTGCTCAGGTCAAAATAGAACTTTCATGCATGGTTATCCTCTGTCTTAGTCGCATCTAAAATATCGTCTGATATGTCAACTGTCATCAGTATTGGGGGAACTTCATTTTAAATATATATATGAGTCAATCAATATTGATATGATAATAATGAATGTTGTGAGAGTGCATCACCACTTGCACTTCCTTATGACCATAGCTGTTTGTTCAGTAATCACTCCAGAAAGAATGGTGCATGACCCGTACAATATCTTTATTTTGAACAGGCTAAAGGTCTTACAGATTAGCAACGGTCTGGAACATCTCGGTAGTATGCGGTGGCCTCTGGTTGGTTGTCTTGCTATCACATACATCGTGGCGTTCTTATGTCTCTTTCGTGGGATCAGGGTTTCAGGAAAGGTAAAGCCAAACAAAGACAGGATGTTATCTATTGTAAGTTTTAGTCTTTCGGGGCACCTTTAATGATTATGATCATTCCGTTGTCAGTGCATACACGTGCTCCTAGTTTCATTATGTGTTTCTATGACAGGTGGTGTACATTACCGTCGGCGTTCCATACATCCTCATCACTATGTTCCTCATCCGGGGCTGTCTACTCCCAGGTTCGGCTGACGGAATATATTTCTACATATACCCACATTTTGAGAGGTTGCTGGATCCCAAGGTGAAGAGCAGCTCCGATGAAAGACTTCATTAATAAAGGGGTTACTGCCGTCCTTTTACTACTATTTAAATAGCTGTGTCATCAGCGGTTGGAATATCGAAGGGAGTTAACTCTAAGTACCAATTGGAAAAGTAAGCTGTTTTGTTCGTATGTGGGAAAAAAGACATGGTGCAGAGAAAGTGATAAACTGTACCGTCTGTACCTCGATCGTCATTAGAACTGCAACATAATCTATTTCCATCAATAGGAATAGCATCGTATTGCTTTCCGATTGTCATTTTTACTGATATACGAGTCTAGCTGGTTTGAAATCAACAGCAATATGTCAACACAATATGCCATAAATATTGTATTTATGCGTTTGTTATTTCGAGAGACATCTTTGATTTCATGTTGATTTCGTTAGTTTCGCATGTGGATCCATATTTGCCCTTACGATGGTTGGAGAGTGAATAACCTCCTTGAACCACTGATGATGCAGTTTCGCCTTATTAAATGATCTCGATATTAAATGTTAGGGAAATCTGAAGAAATACGAATCTGAGCCCTGTTCAGAAACTTGTTGACGCTATAATTATCGCAACTCAGTGAAAATAGTTTTCTGTCATTCCTTAATGTCCTTCGCTGACGAACATATAGCTTATGTTTGTTTTCCACTTTTTTTAAACTTAAAAGGAGTTGGTATAATTCAGTTTCGATTTCAATTGCAGATTTGGATTGAGGGTTGTAATTCCGCCTTGCTTCTATCCGGAATTGCGTTTGGATGTCTACCAACAATGGCAGGACACAACAAACGTAACAACAATTGCTTAAGGTACATTTTTCGACTAACTTAATTGATTTTCTAAAATTGGTTCCAAACGCAGATAATCTTAGGTTTTGTTTACACACTTGTGGTTGAGAAACCCATGTGAGAAAACCGGTATCAAAAATGTGTGAGATCGATTTCCAAGCCCGTGATTTACTCCATGGTGATGACCTAAGGCCAGATTATGATGGACTTCTTTCCTGATCAAGATTCATTGATACGTTATCTGTGCCAACCAGGTGTATGACTATATGTTCTCGATTGTAACGTCAACAGGCATTCATGCAGTAAAACGCATACAATAAAATTCTTGTCTTGTCTTGTCACTTAGAATATCTACGTGGACTTCCTGTTGGCTACTCAGTCATTGCACGGTAGCCTTACGGTAACTCAATCTAGACTTACTAGCAATACATCAAATTAGTGTTGACCGGTGAAGATCCGGGGAAGAATAGGTCTTCAGCAATCCATGCTTGCCACAAAAGGCGACTATGCTTGTCGTAAGAGGCGACTGAGGGGATCGGGTGGTCAAGCTCGCTGACTTGGATGAAACATGTCATCGGTTCCCAATTGCGCAAATCGATGCTCATGCTGTTGGTCACTCGACTGTCTGGTCCAGACTCGATTATTTACAGACCGCCGCCATATAGCTGGAATAATGCTGAGTGCGGCGTAAAACTAAAGTCACTCACACACTCAAATTAATGTTCTGGGTGAGCAGTAAGTTTGTGTAACATGTATCACGAGGGACATATTCCCTTTTCATGTACATGTATGTGTGTCAATGTGTTTTATCATGATTTATCTTGTTATGTATTTAGTAGTTTATTTACGTCTTTCAGTTTCTGCATGTAAGTGAAGATATTTTATTATGATGAGCCTCCGGCGATTATTCAATAATTATGTATATCGAATATACCTAAAATGAGAACAAATTCATGATCCAGTTTAAAACTGTGAGTGACAGATCGAATTAAAATCCGAATTATGTTCCAAAGGATAGATGCATGTATATATGTGATGGTACCAGCGTTATCTTCATGGTTTTTTGTAAGTTGTAAATTTGATAGACAATTGAGCTTAAGAGACATCCCCCGCCAGGAACAAGCCGCAATAGAGATACATCCTTAGAACCTACAAGAGTATTGATTTTATGCAGACTCAATCACCTTAAATCTGGACCAGGAATAGTTCCGAAATAATAATCTATTTCCTCAATATGTCTAGATCTCTTCTGTATATTTTCAAATTTGAACCAAACTGCTGAAGTGACGTAATGAAAGAACATACTCCCGCATTGCTCCACACCTGTCTTCGACTGTCAACAATGACAATGTTAGACAGCACCAAGATGCAAAAGCGGAGAAACGGGCGTTTTACTCGAGCAGATGTTATTGGCTATCTACTCAATGACCAATAATGGTCATCTTGAGACAAGCACTGACAAATAGACCGATCCAGTCCTGACCCATAAGCCCCGCCCACGAGCTCTCGTCTTCGTTTTGACGGAGATTGCGTTGTTGATGAATTCTGCTTGTGGTACTTTGGTATCCGTGGTTTGCGAGTGATATTTAAAGAGGACAGTTTACGTATTTGATTTTGAAAATATTTTAGTAATCAAATTGTATATGGCGAGTGAAAATGAGCTACGTGCCCGATGAAAAAGCGTATAGGCTAGCTACTGAGAGTGGGAAGTTATGAGTATGGAAGGCCAATTGAATTTTCTTGTTTTTATTTTTTTCATAATTCATATCGTAATTTTATCAAAAGAAACGTTAATACAAGCACATGTGCAAGTTTCAGATCGTTTTGGTACCTACAAACAGGTTGTCAACATTGCCTTTATTTATTTATCCGTTGTTCAAGTTTAGTTAAACTAATAACCTGAAAGCATGGGTTTTTATCTTGTAATGAATTAAATGAATGGTAAATAGAAACAAAACTGTCTGCTACTTTGTGCACCTTATTTGTCTGTATTAATGTAAGAAATAAATCACAACATAACTTATTTAAATCTCGTAAAAGTTGATAGGGCTTGCAAACAGTATGTTTCCAGTGGTGTATATGGACTAACCCAGAAGCTAACATTCAGCTGCAACTCTGCAGCAATTCTCAGTAAAATGTCCCTCATCAAACGTTTGGACATCTGTACACCATCCTAAAACAATACAGAGTATAAGGAAATGAATTTTATAAATAATAATCATCCTTTCCATTTTACTTTGTTTTTGAATCTTAAGTTAGATACAAATCAGTGTTCAAACTTCCATAATACTCACTTGATGAACTGCCAGCGTTAAGGTACAGGTATGTCAGTATGGCACAGCACCAGAAAACACAGAAGATCCAAGGTAAACCCTTCACCTGTACACTGAACCATCTTTCAGAAATAGGAAACCTGTGACCGCAAATCTTTGAACAGAGGATCCGCAGTTATCCAAACAATTTACTAGCACTGGAATAGAATGCTGCATAAAATACAAATATATTGCATTTTTGTCAAGAGAATTGTCTTCAGTCAAAATTATTTAACTGCTTACTACTAATGTAAATGAGGTGCAAAGAATATATCATACGTTCAAAGCTATTTGTCAATAAAATAACAAATTACAAAATCATTGCTTCTCAAACAATGGTAATCCTTGATTTATTGGGTCTGCGACCATGTCGCAAGAAGACATAACACAACATTTTGATCATTTTCCTCTTCGGAGATTACTTACTAATTGTCAAAAAAATGCATTAATGTTGTTTCAAAACTTGGTAAAGTCATAACAAAAGTTTTAAAAAGCACACATAAAAATGTCCTGAAGTCATCACCCGTGCCATACCATACCCTATGTAACCCATGCAAGATAGAATGTGTGGCAAGTCTAGATTACCACAGTTTCAAGAAAAGAAGAAAGTCCAGGGGCTCCTTTTATTCTATCTATTTTAATTTAAACACTTTTTTCTGTACATTATGTCTATTTCAGTGACTGGTTGTTAGTCTAAATTTGTCCAAAACCAACATCTTAATAAACACAAGTTATGGCTCAACTATTGGAAATCTCCTCAAAAGCTGATGACTTCTGAGAAGAAGTACATCAAATCGGAGTTAAATGTGCTTCACTATTCATTCCAGTTATATGAAAAATCAACAGAGAATTTTGTAATGTATTTTGTTCAAAGACAGAATAATGCCTGCCCATGGTGTGACCAAAACCTAGCCTTTTTTTTCAAATTCTCTGGATATTTAAATAACTTTAATGACTTATCATACAAGTAATCTGTTTCAGCAATATCGTTTTAGTAAATGTATTATTAAAAACAATACAGAGACGTCTTAAGGCAGAAGCCAACGTAGTAACTTAATACTAAGTGATTGTGCTGCCATGAAATGTATTGTGTGTGTTTGTCTAATTCTGCCTAGAAATCATATTAATATGATATGCCAATCAATTAAATAATTATTGATAACTTGATTTGATTATTGGCACATGAGTCACTCCCTTCGGTTTAAATATTAATGGTACTTTATAATAGAAACTTCCTTCCGCACCCCCCAAAACAACAAGGTAATGAGCGTGAGCATGCTTCATCCACTGTATAAAATTTGATTGGATCAAAGGGGTAAAATGTTGTAATGTTGCGTTTTTTCTTGTAGGGACGCTTTGATCCAAGCTACCTCTGTTACACTGACATCTATATACATCGGGTTTGCCTTCTTTGCCATCATGGGTCACGTTGCTCACCTGCGTGGTGTGACTGTAGATTCGTTCCAATACTCAGGTATTTCCTTGATCTTAAGTATGCGCACTCAGGACATCTTATGGATTAATGTTTGCTAAATATATACTGATCAATACCTCTGTAGCAACATCAACTTTGTATATATACCAGGTACACTTAAAATATATTGAAATTTAAAACGCCCCCCCCCCCCTCCCTGTTTTCTTCCTGATAAACTGTACGATCATTTACAACTACTTACGTTCTGTCCGTAAGTCTCTTCGTTTAGTAAGTTTGATTATTTTGCTGAAGATTTCACTGTAGAGAGTGAAAGTTGTTTCATGCGTACACATCAGTACTGATTTACCAGTTTTAATTATTTCAACCAGTTTTACAAATCAACCTTGTTTGGACAACCACACACCAAAGATAATTAACTCAGCCATCACATACTTGGCTATGGTAAGTACATTAGTACTAATACTAGGTGTCACGCCACACAGGAATAATATAT